ACCCTAGTTTATTGTCGATCCCTTTTGGGAGGAAAGAAATTCCACCGACTCTCGGGGATTCAATACTACATAAATCTCATCAATCATATCCCATTCATTATTAAAGAGTTTTAAAGATTGTTTTCCTATTTTATTTAGAACATTATTTATAGGAATTTGGTTTACACTGCGAACACTTTCTAGCATAATTAATATGCTGTGCCAGCAGGTAGGGCAATTTAATTTTAAAGTTTTTGTATTGATTAGATTGGTTGGTGCAATGCCATTTATATTATCCGATTCATCAGACTTATCAATGGTCATCAAAGGATGGATCAGAATCATCAATATCCAAGATATGACCTGTCTCATAAATTGGCTGCAGACATTTAGGATGCTCTTCCTCAAGTTCACATTCCAAATCAGCTACTCGATATCCGAGGGCTCAAATTATTTCTCAAATATTTTTAATGAGAATATCAATAAAATGGATTATCTTTCCGAATCTTCCTCATCTTTTTTCCCCAATTTTAAGCGAGGCTCACAATAAATATAAACAGGCGTTATTGTGCTTTTCTTAATTTCATTCTTGAAAATAAGATTTCCAAAGTACCCTCAGACATAACTTGATTTATGATTAGTAGAGAGAGTTGTTATTTCATTGTATATAGGGTGGTTTAAAACGTGCAAGTCCATAAAAATAATTAATATGTATTGTTTGTGGAAATGAAATATGATGTAGGGAATGAATGTAAATGATATACACTAGTCTATTATATATAGCAATAGAATAAAATTCATATGTTAATTTTATTAATGTTAATATTCAAATTTATAATAATAATAATTTAATATATAATATAAATATAATCAAACAGCATTTTTAAAAATTAAACACGCCACGCCGCCGCCATAAAAATTGGCGGCGAACCGGCTCGCGCCGATGATCTCAATCGGCAGCTGTTTGGGCGTGAATAAAATCAGGTCTACTATGAAGTGATAATATCTATTATTTTAAGATATAATATTTTACAATTTTCTTCAAAATATAATATTTATTTTTAAAAAAAAAAATTAAAAAAAATAATTAACCAATCAGAAAATGTAAACAATCCATTTATTAATATTAAAAAAAATAGAATTTAAAAAAATTAACCAATTAAAAAATAATAACCAATCAACATGTGTTACCTCCTTTCCTGCTAACGGAAATACCGACCCCTGGAACTCCAAGAAATCAATAAGTTTAATAAATATAGATCCCTCCCCAATTCTTTTATATTCATTCCCCTAATTTTTAGCCTTGCTGGGAAACCGCGGTCTCCAATCCCTAAAGTTCTTACATCAATTGGGTAGAAGAATTGCACTAAAGACATGGGGTCAAAAACGAGTCCCTATCTCTTGAACAAAAATTCTAATTCGAAATCCTAAAGGGGAACTACAAGTGTTTCTTCGAAACTCTCCCTTTTCCCTCCTAGTTCAGCACGCACGGTGTTCTTCCTATTTTATAAAAATACAAAATAAAAATTACGGATTTACAAATTATAGTAATTTATAAAGGTGAATTTAATTTATTTACGTTTTTTGTTTTATATGTATGGCGCCACATCAATGACATATATAATACCTAGACTGACGATTCATTAATTAAAAGTGTGCATCAATGCAAATCAGCTGGAGCCGCCATCTTGGTTACACTAAACATTATTAAAATTTTAAACGAGAGCCTAATTTATTCCTATATCTGATGCACACTTTATTAAAGAATTACCGAATCATCGAGATAATAAGGGAAGCAAGTTATCAATTTAATAGTAGCTTTTAACATGAGAATAACTATCATATGGGTTACCAAAATGGAGGGTCCAGCTGATTTGCATTTCAACGACACTTAAAAATGCATTTTAATGAATGAATCGTCAGTCTGGGTATTATATATGTCATAGCACCACATATCATTTATTTTTACATTTTTTATTTTTTAGACTTAAAAATAAAATAATAATATATTTAAAAAAAAATAAAATTATATTTTAAAAATAAATGTGTAATTCTATTATAAGTTAATAATATAACGGTCAATTTGTTTCACTTATATTTTTTTTAGCTCACTTCAAAATTTGAATTTTAAGAATAGAATTTACTTACATAAAAATATTTAGACACAAGTTAAATGTGAGTAAAATTATATATTATGATTTAAGATTGAATAATATAAAATATCATCTATAGGGAGAACGAACATATATTGAAATGAAATAATGATTTTAAAACGCAAATAACTATAGTAATTTATTATAAAATTTTATTAAATTAATGACAATGAGTCACAAATCGAGATATTACTTTTCATGTATTAGAGTATCAGTGGCGTAGCCAGGATTTATCCAAGAAGGAGGTCACAAGCAAAATTTTTGGGCTTCACTCCATAGCTCATATTTGTCCAAACTTTGGTCTAATCAAACCTAGGGAAAGTCATGTTTTTTTAAATATGTAATATCTTTTTAATATTATCTCTTGTTAAAGTTAAGTGAACAATTGCAAGCAGTAATTCAAAAATCTATGTCAATATTACATACTTTATTAATGTCTATTAGAGCTTTCAGTAAAATAGCCAGTATAAATGGAAAAATATTAGAAATAAAATTCTGGACAGTTTTACGATTGCAAAGTTACTTAAACCATTTTTTCAAAGTTTAGGCTGTGTACTAATTGGTATTAATTTTGATAATTAATGCTGTTTAACCTAGGACACCCTATTTTGGTTTGTGTTAAGTCTTTGGTGTAGTGTTGTTAAATGGTTCGATCTGAGCCGATTTTTAAAAAAACTGCTGACTCAAGACTTTAGTCAGAAAAATACTGCGAAAGTCTTGAGATTTCTCTAATAGATGTCGAAACCTTTTTACCATCTAAGAGCAAAATCTTCCGTTATTAAAATATTAAGTTAGTCCTTTTTAAAAATCGGCACAAATCGAAGCCGTTTAACAACACTAGTTTGGTAGCATTGTTATTTTTCATACTTTTTTTTTGTTGTTTTTATATTTTTGTCTTACTTTTCGAAGCTTAAATGGAACCAGTACACAGATTTAGTGCTTAATCGTATATTGTTTTTAAAAGTTAAGTTACACGTTCAATTCAATTAGGATAAAAATATAATACATTTGTAAGATTCAGTAGCATCACTAGGAAGGGAGTGGGCGCAGGAGCTGGAGCCCCCTAAATAATTTGAATACTCCTTTGAACCTAAAATTATTTTTTAATGACTCCCTAATCAAATGGAAAATTTTTTTTGATAGCCAGTGAACGATTTTTGATATTATTTTTAAAATAATAACAAGACCATATAAATTTTTATTTAATGAATGCTATTTTTATTATTAGATTAATATAAATTACATTTTCACTATGTTAACAATTGCAATTCGTTGTTAAAAATGGAATATCAATATCACTCATAATTACAATAATTTTATATTATATGTGTATATTATTATTTTATAATTATAATAATAAAATTATTAGATTTTGAAATTAATATCAATCAAGCATTTACATTTGAAGATTTAAATTATTTTATAACTCAAATTAAATAAATATTTGTAAATAAAATAAATCTAATTTAATATTGCGATTTCTGTTAGCCAAGTTCAAATTTATTAATCAACTATATTAATTATTTTTAAATTTAATTTACTATATTTCTTCCGTATAAATTTTCTAATCCAACCCTGTATACAAGACTTTTTTGTTACTCTAAGTATATCCAATTAAAATATAAAATATTTTTTACTCATTTATTTTTTATTTATTAGATAATGAAGAAAGAGGAGATATTGATTTTGAGAAGAATGCTTTAAATAATGGAAGCAATGACAAAAAAAGAGAATGCAGTATTGGAGTCGAAATTTAATTAAAACATCTTTTACTTATCTATTTTATATTTATTAGTTAATGAAGAAAGAAAAGCTGTTGATATTCTTTAAATAATGGAAATGGAAACAAAATTGATATTAACAATATTTTAGACAAAAGAAGAAAGGCCAATGAAAGAGTTGGAGTTGAACAAAGTATATTTAATTAAGACATCTTTTGCTCATTTATTTTATATTTTATTAGATAATAAAAAGAGATATTGATTTTGAGATGAATACTTTAAATAATGGAAATATAAATATTGATAATATTTTAGACAAAAGAAGATGAGGCAATGTAAGAGTTGGAGCTGAACAAAGTATATTAAAAATTTTTCAATTTCAAACTGTTTTTTAGATAATAAAAGAAGAAATAATGAAAACAAAAAGGTTAAAAGAAAGAAAATAGTCAAAATAATTTATATATGAGATATTTTATTTGCAAAACAATAGAAGCTATATGTGAAGTCTTAAGGATGCTATGGCGCTAGAAATTTACTCGATTTCCATAAACCACATGATCCGGGAAGATTCTTAGATATCCATCACCGTGTTCGGGCTAATCACTACAAAAGGAAAATATATTACTTATAAAATTTTATTATCTATATATATAATCCTCAAAAAATGTCAATCAAATTTAGCCAATAGTTTTCTTTTAAATATTATTTGTCCAATCAAAATGATTATAGCAGTCACAGTCACAACTGTGACATTATATAGTCAATTATTTTACCTGATAATAGTCAATTATAATTTTGTTAATATATTATGTAATATTCAACATCTTTATTTATTAATTATTGGACGTTTGTCCTACTTAAATAGGGAGTGATTCTTAATAATATTTAATTAATATTAACAAATTCGGAAGTATTTAAGTTATGTTAAATTGTAGTTTTAATCTCCATGATATTTAGCGCCATCTATAATATTATATTTTATTTAAAATAGCATTATATTTCTAAGTTGAAATGTAAATATTTTGTCTTAATTGATGTCAAATATATTGTTCTTTCTATATATCTATAATTTATCTATCTATCTATCATAGCAATTTTAAGCCAATTTAGATCATATTAGCAAAATGGATTTAATCTCCTATAAATCATGGAAAGCATTTCAGAAGTATTTTGAGGCAATAGGCAGGAAGGAACATTAGTATGAAAAAAATGTTTACAGATAATCCTACAAGAGCTAAGGAATTCAAATCTATAATATATATATTCAATAAAAATCATCATAGCTTAAACATATCAAACACGCATTCATAAACCAAATCGAACCGCCATTTTCAAAAAAAGAATTTCAATACAAAAAACAATTACAAAACATATAATATATATATTCAATAAAAATCATCATAGCTTAAACATATCAAACTATTCATAAACCAAATCGAACCGCCATTTTCAAAAAAAGAATTTCAATACAAAAAACAATTACAAAACATATAATAATATAATAATTACAATAATTGATATTTTTTTTAACAGACACAACATCGAGCAAAACCTTCAATCATCAGTAAATAATTATATTTTTTAACAGACACCACATCGAGCAAAACCATATACTTTCAATTTACACATCTTAATCTTGAAGATACTGAAAATCAAGAACAAGTTGAACATTACTGTGGGATTAAGATCTATTTTATTATTTTTTTTTAGATTCCTACACAAGATACCATTCAACAAAACCAAACAATGGAACGTTTCATAAAATCTAAAGAAGGCATTATTGCTTCAACAAGAGTAAATTTTATATTTTTAAGATGTGATTCCGAAATATATATTTATTAGGTGAGGGGCTATTCTAATATTTTCCATTATTTTTTTAAAATATGTTAATGAAGTATATATTTAGTAATTTTATTTTATGTCCACAATGATAAATATTTTAAACTAAACTTATTTATATAAAATTGAGTAAATCTTATATTTTTAAATTTTAATAATAAATCAACATAAGGAGAAAGCTAGAAAGAGACAGGCACTTTGTCGTATCAAGAAAAGGAACGAACAAAGTCTTATTCCTACAACATCCAACTATCTTGAAGATACTGGAAATAAACAATTTGCTTCAACATCCAATCATCTTAAAGATACTGAAAATCAAGAACAAGTTGAACTAAAAATTAGATTGCAAATCTTATATTGCTGATAAGTTTCAGCAGATAGAGGAATTATTATAATTGCCTTCCAAAAATTAAAAATACTGTGGGCCATTAAAATCTATTTTATTATTTTTTTTAGATTCCTACACAAGATACCATTCAACAAAACCAAACAATGGAACGTTTCATAAAATCTAAAGAAGGCATTATTGCTTCAACAAGAGTAAATTTTATATTTTTAAGATGTGATTCCGAAATATATATTTATTAGGTGAGGGGCTATTCTAATATTTTCCATTATTTTTTATAAATATGTTTATGAAGTATATATTTAGTAATTTTATTTTATGTCCACAATAATAAATATTTTAAACTAAACTTATTTTTATAAAATTGAGTAATTCTTATATTTTTAAATTTTAATAATAAATCAACATAAGGAGAAAGCTAGAAAGAGACAGGCACTTTGTAGTATCAAGAAAAGGAATGAACAAAGTCTTATTCCTACAACATCCAATCTTGAAGATACTGGAAATAAACAATTTGCTTCAACATCCAATCATCTTGAAGATACTGAAAATCAAGAACAAGTTGAACATTACTGTGGGCCATTAAAATCTATTTTATTATTTTTTTTAGATTCCTACACAAGATACCTTTGGTGCAATATCTAAGTATAATTTTTTCAGTGATCCTATATCAATAAAAACAAATCAAGTTAAAAATTTTAATTTATGACAATAAATAAATTTATTTAAATTACATTCCACGGATCATATTGCCGAAATGTGCCATTCAACGGACTCTTAATCTACCAAAATCAATAAAAACAAACGAAGTTAAAAAATTTAATTTATGTTATCAAATAGATTTTTTTTAAATTAGATTCCACGATATATATTACCGAAATGTACCATTCAGCAGAATCTTAATCTACCAAAATCAATCAAAATAAACCAAGTTAAAAATTTTAATTTATCTTAAATTAATTTTTTTAAATTTAATTCCACGAATCATATTACCAAAATGTACCATTCATTCAACAGAATCTTAATCTACCCAAATCAATAAAAACAAACGAAGTTAAAAATTTTAATTTATGTTAAAAAATAAATTTATTTAAATTAGATTCCACGGATCATATTGCCGAAATGTGCCATTCAATAGAATCTTAATCTACCCAAATCAATAAAAACAAACAAAGTTAAAAATTTTAATTTATGTTAACAAATAAATTTATTTAAATTAGATTCTACGAATCATATTACCGAAATGTACCATTCAACAGAATCTTAATCTACCCAAATCAATAGAAACAAACGAAGTTAAAAATTTTAATTTATGTTAACAAATAAATTTTTTTAAATTAGACACTACCAAAATCTACTATTCACCAAAATCTTAATCTACCCAAATCAATAAAAACAAACCAAGTTAAAAATTTTAATTTATGTATAACAAATATTTTAATAAATATAAATTTCTGAATCACATCTCATAAGATAGATAAGAAAATTTTTGATTTATCCATCATCAGGGGTTATTCAAAATTTATTATTTATTTATGAAGTATATGGTTATTAATTTTAATATATGCCCACAATAAAAAATATATTTCATCAACTAATAAAAAAGAAAATTCTTATTTCACTATCATCTTGACGGGAAAAATATAAGATAAAATAAGTATGTGCTACATAATCGTAATTACCCATGGAATATTTTAGAAAAAATTATTATAAGCCTGGCATATGTTTACATCAGAGCCGGTGTATTGATTGTGAAATCAATACCCATTGTAACTTCAATACCGTATTGATATCATTATAGATTCAATACCGTAGTGATATATTGCTATTGTAGAATCAATACCGTATAGATTTTTAAGATGTTTGCATCGCTTCAAATATATTGGCGACCATTAAAATTATAAAATATTTATTTATTATATATTTTTTCATCGCTTTATAAATATTGGCGGCCATTTTCGATTTGTAAAAATTTTATTTAAAATAGATTTAATAGTTTTAAATATATTAAAATGATAAATATGATTTTCTATTCTTTTATATAATTTATCAGGGAATTTATTTATTTTACAATTCTTGATATCCTATATATTTTATATTTGTTTACTCATTATTTGTAATTTGTGAAGTGCTATATAATTGTTGATTCAAAGTTTTATAAATGATATTATGAATTCAAATAAATTAAATGGACTTTGTTGATTGAGTTTATAAAATTTTGTGATTCATATATAAATGTCGAATCAAAGATTTATAAAAATCAATAACGTATTGATTTTTGATGGTATTGATTTTACAATTACACCGGGTCTGCAGGTCTCTGAATAATCACAAAAATATTAAATTATATGTATAATTTTTAGCAGGCCTCAAATTTATTTTATTTATTTTAGATAAATATTTCTGCACAACAATCATTAGTACAAGAACATTATTGTGGATTACTCAACACTAAGTGCGATTATTGCGATTCTATAAATTTTTTATTGGAAAAACTCACAGATGGCAAATTTAAGAATTGTTGTCATAAGGGTAAAGTTAAGATACCATCAATCCGATATATTCCTTTTTTACAAGACCTTTTATCTAATCCTAACAATGAATTTCATTCAAACTTTATGAAATATATAAGATCTTATAATAGTTCACTTGCCTTCGCATCCATGGGAGCACAGATTTCTAATAGTTTAAACCCAGGCCCATATTGTTTTAGAGTTCATGGGCAAATTTATCACCGAACATCTCATTTATATCCTTCCACTGGGATGCCTCCTAAATTTGCACAACTATATGTCCTTGAGACCACCCAGGCTGTTAATGGCAGGTTACACATGAAAGAAAATTCTGGTTGCAATGAGGATCTCTTGAAAAGATTAAATATTTTAATAAGACAGAATAACCCATTTTCTATTAGTTTTAAAATCTTGGGAGAAATTGATAAAGGAGAAAAAAATAGGGCTATTCAAGAAAATCGTCCAGTTCAAAAAATCAATATGATTTTTCGTGCAGATCGCTCAAGTGACAAGCGAAGATATAACATTCCTAATATAGATGAAGTAGCTATGATTTTTACAAATGATGATGGTGAACCCCCATTTAAACGGGATATCAAGGTCTATCCTCGAGTTGATGGTAGTGATCTGATAAATATAAATATATTAAGCCCTAATCTTGATCCAATGGTATATCCTCTATTATTTCCTTTTGGTGACCCTGGTTGGAAACCAGATTTAAAGGGTGAAGATACAAGGCGTACATGGGCAAATATCTCACTACTACAGTTTAGATTAGCAATTCGTGAAAATGAATTCAACCCAATCCTTTTTGCTGGGAAATTATCACAACAATATATTGTTGATTCCTATTTACAGGTCGAGGCGAATAATTTAAATTTTATTAGACAAAATCAGCCAAAATTACGAGTAGATGAATATTCTGGATTAATGGACTACTTGGAAACAAAGTCAAACAATATAATTCCCTGCAAAGCAGTAATATTACCATCATCTTTTCAAGGTTCTCAAAGAAATATGCGAGAACGCTATCACGATGCAATGGCCATTGTGCTCAAATTTGGCAAATCTGATTTGTTTATTACTTTTACATGCAATCCTAATTGGCGTGAAATTAAGGAAAATCTATTTCCCGGGCAAAGTCCTACAGATAGACCAGATTTAATAGCCCGTGTTTTTAAATTGAAATTAAATGAATTATTGTTCGATATAAATAAAAAAAATTTATTTGGTAAATCTATGGCTTTTATATATACAATCGAGTTCCAAAAAAGAGGTTTGCCTCATGCCCATATACTTATTATTTTAAACGATGATAGCAAAATTGAAACATCTCAAGCTATAGATAAATTTGTTTGTGCCGAAATGCCAGATAAAATTCTCGATCCTAAACTTTTTCAGATTGTTACCCATTTTATGATACATGGTCTTTGCGGGATATTTAACCCCAAATCGCCTTGCATGGAAAATGGCATATGTACCAAAAAATTTCCGAAGGATTTTCAAATGGAAACAAGACCAAATATTGATGGGTATCCATATTATAAAAGGCGAGATAATGCTATTACAATTCTTTCCGGTAAACCTACGGATAATCGTTATGTTACTCCATATAATCGATATCTAATGTTAAAATTCAATGCTCATATTAACGTGGAAATTTGTACATCTATTAAATCGGTAAAATATATCTTTAAGTATATTTATAAGGGCTATGACTGTACTAATGTTGACATTAATGTTGCTTCAAATATAAATATTCATGACGAAATTAAATCACATTTAAATGCGCGATATGTGAGTGCATGTGAATCAATGTGGAGATTATTAGAAAATAATATGCATGACCGCTCGCACGCTGTTATTCGCTTAGGAATTCATTTACCTTTACAACAGCCAGTATATTTCACTGCTGGACATTAAAGAGATGCTTTATTGAGATCAGAAAATAAACATACTACTTTAACGGCATGGTTTGAGTTAAATAAGACAGATCTAAATGCTAGACAATATCTTTATGGGGAAATACCTTATCATTATGTGTTTACAAATTACCATTGGAAATTAAGAAAAAAACGATTACATGTAATTTCGAGAATGTATTCCGTTCATCCTAATTCTGGTGAACGATTCTTCCTTCGATTATTATTACTTCATGTTTGCGGGGCTACAAGTTTTGATTATTTAAAAACTATTAATGGAATTTTAATGAGTACTTTTAAAGAGGCAGCTATTAAAAGAAATTTGTAATCAGATGAAAAAGAGTGGGAATCATGCTTAGAAGAGGGATCAATATATCAAATGCCGTCACAACTTCGGAGTACTTTTGCCTTTATCTGCATTTTTTGTTAGCCTGAAAATCCTGCATATCTATGGAATAGGTTCAGATTTATGATGATTGAAGATTATTTGCGTCAATATTCAGAAGTAATTGCAATAAACATGGCTTTAATGGACATTAAAAACGTTTTTTTCTTGATCATGGTTTATGCTGTCAAAGTTTTGATCTTCCTTCACCTACAAAAATCCCCCCAAAACAACATTATGATGCCCATGTTGAAGCTGCCGATTCAATCGAGCGTATATCTAAATTAAACCGATTACAAAAATATGCTTTTGATTTAATTATACAAGCGATTGAATTAGAAAATATTCCAGAAAGATATTTCTTCGTGGATGGCCCTAGAGGTTCAGGTAAAACGTATCTTTACAATACCTTAATGTGTTATATAAGAGCAAAAAATCAAATTGTATTGCCTTTTGCAACCACCGGCATATCCTCTATTCTTTTAAAGGGGGAAGAACCATCCATAGCGGATTTAAATTACCTGTGCCTATCTTTGAAACTTCTACATCCCATATGAATTTACATAGTTCGCTAGTTCTAGATATTAAAAATAGCAAATTGATTATTATTGATGAGGCCACAATGATGACTAAACACGCTTTGCGATGCATTGACCGATTACTTAAAGACATTATGAAAAATTCCCACCCATTTGGCGGAAAAGTAATTTTATTAGGTGGTGATTTTAGACAGACTTTACCAGTAGTGCCTAAAGGCTCCAAAGTCGATATTATAGAGTCCTGTATAAAAAGTTCATATTTATGGAGTCATTTTAAAATAATACATTTGATTGATAATATGCGTATTTCATCAGATCAAGTTGATTACAATGCTTGGTTACTTAAAATTGGAGATGGGCTATCACGCAGCAATTCTGATCTTCCTACAAATAGTGTTGAAATCCCACCTTATTTGCTTGAAAATGATTCATTAATAAAATGTGTGTATGGTAATTCTATAGAAATTGCTGATATAGATAGTCTTTCTACTAAAATAATATTAACCACCAAAAATAAAATTGCACTTACCCTCAACAACGATATCATTAATATAATTTCAGGCCCTATCAAACATTATTATAGTGCAGATTCCATTGAAAGCGATAATAAGGATGATATAATGAATTTTCCAATAGAAATTTTGCATTCACAAACTCCATCCGGTATGCCACCTCACAAGCTAACACTTAAGGTTGGTACAATTGTTATGCTATTACGCAACTTGAGCCCAAAGAAAGGACTTTGTAATGGTACCCGTTTAATCATACGACATTTACATATTAATTTTATCGACGCTGAGGTATTGACAGGCACTAATAAGGGTTATCGAGTTTTTCTCCCACGAATAGATCTAGCTCCAAGTGACTCTCAGTTACCATTTACTTTAAAAAGACGACAGTTTCCTATAATTCCCGCTTTTGTGATTTCAATAAATAAAAGTCAAGGACAAACTTTTGATCATGTAGGCTTATTCCTCCCTGAGCCCGTCTTTGCCCATGGACAACTATATGTGGCTCTTACTAGATGTAAATCTCAAAATAATATGAAAATTATGATTTTGCCATCAGAATTACAAGGAAAAATTTTAAAAAATGATAAAACTTTCACACAAAATATCGTATATAATGAAATCTTAAATTCATAATTTGTAAGAAATTTAAAAAAGTCACCAACTTTGTTATTCACCATCAAATCACCAACTTTACATCATCTTCAAAAACTAAACCACCTCGAGCAAAGAAAAGAGAACTTCTTCACCATCGCTAAACCATCTTTCTCACCAAAAACAATATATTCTATTTTATAATTTCAATTTACACGTTTTATTTCAGGTTATTTACAGCAAACTACGAGCAAGAAAATTACAACATCATCTTAAAAAACGAAACCAACTTGAGCAAAGAAAAGAGAACTTCTTCACCATCGCTAAACCATCTTCCTCACCAACAATAGTATATTCTATTTAATTTCAATTTACACGTTTTATTTCAGGTTATTTATTTCAGGCTATCTACGGCAAACATACGAGCAAGGAAATCACAACATCATCTTCAAAAACGAAACCACCTGAGCAAAGAAAAGAGATTGAAATCTCCTTTTTTAGGTTAAATTTTCTATATTATAAAATTTATTATATTATATTTTTTATATGGCTACAAATGCATATGTGTTGTAACCCGATAATCATCAACTCTTGAAGTATAAATATTTATTATATTTTCTTATAATTCATATCTTTGTCTCTTTTTTTCTATTTCTTCCTTCTTATTTTCATTCTTTTTTTCATTTCTTTGCTCCCCTAAAATCCATCTCCTACCTTCACGCGGTGGGGAGTGAACAGTAATTCTGACTAACAGGAGCTCTGGTAAATAATGTTAGTATTTAGGGTGCTAATAAGAGATATTGTTTCATTTTTGTAATTTAAAATATAAATTTCGAAATCACATCTCATAAAAAGGAAAATGTCTGATTCATCCATCATCAAATAAAGGTAAAATATATTATTCATCAATCATTGAATAAAAAAGACAATTCCTCTCTCTTAGTCTTAATGGGTTGGAATTGGCCTGAAGGAGGAGGGGGAGGGGTAAAAAGAATTATCGTAAAAGAACGAATAAAATTCTCATCCCCGTCATTTTTGACGGGTTTTCAACTAGTATTATATAATCGCAAATATTTATTGCTGTAATAAATAGATAAATATTTTATACCAAAAATTATTATCTTTAGCTTACCAAATGTCTTTTATTGTTTAACTTATTATTTATTTGCTAGTATTATATGCGTGCATAATAAATAAAAAAATAGGAAATAACCAAAAATACGGCCCAAGACCCGCAAAAAGGGGGTACGGGGGCATAATTTTCAGTAGTCCCATGAGTAAAGGTAGGTGACGCTCCTGGTTGCATGTAATAACAAAATAAAATGTATCGAGGGAAAGAGATATTGATATTATTAATTGTAATCAGTAATGCTATTATTACGGAAAATAATTAAAGATTACATAGGGGAAGAGGATGTTGCAAACGATATTTATAATTGTAGTAATGCTAATTCCTTATTATAGAATACAATTACCATTACATTATTTGGAAAGGGGAAGGGGTATTAATATTTAAAATTGTATTTAGTAACGCTGATTCCTTATTATGGAAAACAATTAAACAACCAGGGGCTTTACTAGCCTTTAGAATCTCAGGGGACTCGAAAATTCTTTTTTGAAATTATTTTCAAAAATGACTTTTTTAAAATTTTTATAACATAATCTAAATTTTTTTTTTTTAAACTAACAATATCTTCTTTTATTTTTTTTAATCTAAAATAAATTACCTTTTTGAAGGTATTATCACAAAATTACTTTTTAAAGTCAATATTAAACATTACATATTAGTTTTTATAGCTAACAATATTTAAAATAAATATTTTAAGGTCTCTTTACATTTTACAAGGGCTTGAGCCACTATGTCCCCCCCCTCCCCTAGTGACGCTACTGAACGGAAAAAAAGATATCTGAAATATGAACCAAATGATGTATATATATATATCAATAGATTGCAAAATTCATTTAATACATTCAAGTGTTTCTACATATGAGCAGCGGACCTATATGTATGGGTACTTTTAATAAATGAATCTTTTAGTTGTATGTATATACTCATTGTAAAAACCATGCTTGGTCTAATTAGAAACATTTCAGGTTGCCCTTTAGAATTTGTTATTTCTCAATAATTAAGGATCTTATGAGTTTATATCAGTAAGGTCATCTGTAGCGTCACTAAAGGAGAGATGCAGGGGCCGAGCCCCTGAAAAATTATAGCCCCTTCAAAATTTTGAAATTTATAAGGTAAATTTGTTAAAAATAAAATTTTGGATATGTAGTTAAAAAAAAGATAATTTTGAATATAATTAAAAAAAGATTTATAGTCCCTTGAGATTGTAAGGGCAAGTGCCCCCTAACTGCCATCTCAATAAAATCGATTGAGTTTATTATAATCCAACCAACAAGTTATCTAGTTCTTACTTTACGGCTTACACATCCTAAAAACCTATTCCTTCTTGTTAACCTTAAAAATTCTACCCATTAATTCATGTCGATCATCCTTTCAGAATCGATACCATTGCGGTCTTCTTTCCTATTTGAGTCCAAAACAAAAATATTACTTTAAATTTATAATTTATATAGTTATATTAAAAATAATATAAATTCTACAATGTTAACCTTAATGTTAATAGTAATTGGTAAACATATGTGTTTATCAAGCACCTGACATATCCTCCATTAATTTATCCATATCTATTTTATTTTGTAGACCGCATCCCTTTAAAAAATTCTTATGGAAGAATATGCTAGAGAGCCATGGTATGGTTTGTTTAAATATTGATTAACCATATTAAAATAAAATAAATCGATGAGATAGATTAAAATAATATTTTTTTAGTCCTTGGAGAATAGTAGATGATTGTGGTGGAGCCTTTACAATGGGAGCTTTAGGTGGGAGTTTATTTCAAGCTATTAAAGGGTTTAGAAATGCGCCTATAGTAATATTTATATATAATGTTAATGAGGTCGAGTTATCGATCTAAATTTGTTTCTTTAAATCATTGCTTAGAATATTTTTTCATAAAAATAAATATTCATATAAAAGGGTTTTAATCGAAGGATGATAGGCTCATTGACAGCTATAAAAGAAAGGGGACCGATAATAGGGGGTAAACATTTTTAATATTTCATTTATTTATAGTCTGAAATAAAATGACATGTATCTTTGTTGATTTTAATATTGTGCTTATAATGCTAACTTTATATAAATTAAATTTTTTTTTATATTACCGTATACTAATGTTTAAATTTATGATAGAGTCAGAGTTCAGAATATATTGTCCAATTTGTAAATTCAATTAAAATCACTTTTAAAGCAATTTAATTGATTTGACACTAAATTTTTTAAAACTGCTTTCCGATTAGTAAACTAGATGCATAATTGTGTTAAATATAAAACCATATGAAAAAATGCCTAATAAATTAAGGAGGATAAAGTGATTTTTGGTCTGAATCCTCATCCTCAATTACTTGGGCTTCCCTTAAAACATTAACAATTCTTATGGGGCTTTTACCATAGATTGGTGAACATCTAATTTAAGCAGATTATACCCAAGTTTAGCCACAAAAATCATAAAAGATTACACATAATCAGTCACTTTTTAATAGCTCTAGCTAATTATATTTTAAATCTGAACTTTCCCCTATTTAAATATATATGGAACAAAAGAAAATATAAAAGATCAAAGAAAAATATTTTTTATTTTATATAAATATTTTAAAACAAATGCAATTTTTTTTGCCAGACTATTTAAATGACTATTATAGCAGTGATCTGCATTGGGCCTAATTTTTCAAGCCTGGCCCTGCCTGAAATTTTTTTAATAAGTTTTGTTGGCCCTGCTCAAACCCAACATTTTTTTAAAAACTTACCGCCTCTGCTTTGCCTGAATTTATTTAAATAAAATTAATTTTTAAAATTACTCAAAATAAAAGATATATTTTATATGGCCTCTAGTTTCTATAAATATATTTGAATACTTTCATTTTACATAAAAAATTCAACATAAAATTGATAAATTTAGATATATTTTAAAAAATTATAAGATTTGACCTGACCTGGCCCAAATTATTTGAAAATATTAGGCCCGACCCAGCCCAAACCCGAATTGTTTTAAAAAAATAGGCCCGTACCTGGCCCGGCACTTTTGCAGATCTCTATATTAGAGACCTTTTTTAAAATAATAAGAGCTATTTATCTCTACTATTTTTGCTAGCTAATACATAGCCAACTGGGTAATATAAACTTAGCGGATTCTCCACCTGTAACATTCACAGAATTGACATTGAAATATATGTCAACCTTTATCAAAACATGTTCAGAGTCTTGATCATATTTCTTTGACTGATAAAAGAAGACCTGAATTGTTAAAGGGAATTTACCTCGTGAACTTCATAGCTATTATTGTTGTTCGATGTGAAATTAGAGCCTATTAAAATTTTCGATGGAATCTTAATGAGAGGGATACCCTAATCAGAGAGATCTGCAAAACTTGGGCCTATTTTTAAATTTTTTTTTGGTTTGGTTAGGGTAACCCTAATATTTTTAAGAAAAATAAATGTGGGCAGGGATTAGCTTAAATTTTTAAATGTAATATTGAATTTTCTGAAATAAATTGATATATTTAAGATAAAATTTTGCAAGAAACAAGGCTCCAATATTTTTTATTTGTAGAATATTATTTTTTATAATTATAAAAATGCTAAATTTTTCTATATTTAAATAAATTTGGGCAATGCTGGGTTGAAAAATTGTTTGTATAAAGAAAATCTATGGGCAAACTTATTTATGGGTTAACTGTTAAAAAAAATTTCATTTTTAGTCTTTTATAAAATTTTTTTGTTTTTTCCAAAAAAAAAAGGATTATTATTATCAAAATCAATCAATTTAAAAGTGTAAATATAATTATCTTGTTCTTGATTTTAAAAATTAAATTCAATATATTTTATAAATTAAGTCAATAAAATTGAGCTTAAAATGATTAATCTTATTAATTTTAAAAAAATTTGCCGCTTTTGCTTCAACCTACCCTCGCTTGTTCTGACATAGCTACCCACTAACTAAAATTCAAATATTAAAGGTAACATTTCAAATTTCTTAGAGGAGACTTTGGACTACTGCTAATATTCGTTCATTTTAGTCAGCGCCCATAAGTTTCTTGGACTTTTTACAGAATCCAATCCACTTGGCACCGGTCTTGTCTTATTTAGAAATCTTGGATGGAGTTAATAATTCATCTAAATTTGGCACAGAAAGATCATAATTTATAACAAGAATCTCTTATCTGAAATTACTAATTTAGAATCCCTTTATATAGAAAATTTTAATTGAATAACTTCTCCGAGGCTGCTGCATACACCTTCAATTATTTTAATATTTCATGAGGAATATAAATTGACTAAGTGCATGGTTTATGAATGATATTTTTTATTTTTAAATTATACATATTGCCTCTGTTAAAAGCACATAAAAATTCAACCCTATACATATACATTATAATTGAATTTATTATATTTTGTAAATTACTTTAAATTAGGTATCTTTATTGATTTTTTAAAAAAAAACATAGGAAATTTCGCCGTGTGGGGCGGTCTCTTTTCTACCATAGATTGTAGTCTTGTTCAAATACGGAAGAAAGAAGACCCCTGGAATTCTATAACGAGCGGAGCGTTGACTGGGGCTATTTTGGCGGTAAGAAATGGGCCTGGACCGATGATTGGGTCCGCGGTAGTAGGTAAACCTTTATTTTTAAAAATATATTATCAAAAAAAAATTAGAATATTTATTTAAATTGTTAATCTGCTGGAGAGGGGGGGGGGGAGAATATTTTGATCAATCAAAAAGTTGAATAGCTGGAAATTCATTTTTCCCTAGCTCATGGGTCAGGCTTTTGTGTATGTGTCTCGAATTCTTAATTATAAAATATTCTATTCATAAATATCATTTTACCATTAAAAATATATTAAATTAAATTTGTGAAAACATTTATAAATTATTATTTTTTTAAAAAACGTAATTATTGGTTTTAGTAGTTATAAGTTATACAATGATGGATATAGGGATGGAACAAATAATGGTATTGGTAGCGTTGTTAAATATCTTGGAGCCGGTTTTAATGGCGAATTCAATATTTTACCCCCCCCCCCCCTCAAAAAAATACGCGAGCTTAAAGAGTTTACTCATAGATGGCACAATAGTTTGGACATATTTTAGTGAAATTTCGAGGCTCAGGCAAATATATTTCTGTCTAAAATATTGAGTTAGCCTTTTTTTAAATCTGCTCAAATTGAGTCGTACACCACTAAGCAGAAGCGCTAATTTATTTTTGTTAAGATTTAATAATCAAAATTAATCTTTATTTTATTGAACAGAATTGTTATTTTTTTTTATAAACATGATTTAACTTAAAATAAAAATCCAATCTATTAAAGGAGTATAAAATTTTAACAAATTAATTTAATTTTACATATTATCAAATGCGAATTTATCTGTTAAATTATTAATTGTAATATATATGAATAATTATCCATTAACGGTAACAACTGAAACAAATAATAATAATATAAACACAAGAGTATAGTTGGGCGTTTACTATATTATTTATCCAGCTAAAAAGTCGGCTAAACTAAGTTTTTAGCCGAAAACTATTGGCCTCGGTGGTTTTCTTAAGAAAGATAGCGGGAAGAGACTAATGTAAATTAAAATGCCTTTAATGTTAACGGATTTTCGCTGGCAAGCGCTTGAAGATTGAGCCAAATTTGGCTATATTCAGCCATTACCCAACTGGCTAAATAATATGACGAACTACTTAGTATAATAATTTACGTAGTCAAAGTATGTACGCCATTTTATAATAGAATTTTATATAAGTTGTTAGTGTGCTAGTCGGATTTTTTAATTATTTTTAATTTACATTGAAATATTAAAAAAATTATTAAAATTTTATATCTTCCGAATATCTCAGGGGAATAAGGTTTACAAGTTATATAATAGAATTTTATGATATATTATACATTAAAATATTTTTAATCAATAAGAAAAATGAATTTTAACATATTATAACTATTATATATAGCGCCATCTATTTTTTTTAAAGTATAAAAATCGCAATATTTTTTTAAATAAATATCCAGCCATGCTAATTGTTGAAGAAATTATTAAAAAAATAGTAAACGGATAATATTTCTTAAAAAAATTAAAAATCGGAGATCATATACATTTCGAAATATTAATTTCAAGTTTTCAACTGACCATAAGATGACCCATATTTTATCAAAAATTAATTTTGATGTTTTCGCCATAATCATCAATTATTAACTTAGCTGTTGATATTATATTCAATATTTGATCATATTTAGTTTTAAATTAAAAACTAATTATTTGACATCAGTAAAAAGCAAAAAAAGACGTTTTTTGGACCTTTAACCCCGATTATCTCCGCTAATATAGTCGCTAATGCGCTAAAATTTTGTTTATAATCTAATGGGAACATATATAACCAGTCTACAACTTTTTATCGAAATTGAAAGGGGTCGGCCGAAAATCTTGATTTTTTTGCTCATTTGACATGGAATAACTCATTTTGGTCATCACCGAAGCCTCCCCTCCCACTTCATTGGCTGAGGGTATCTAGAGGGCTTTGCCAAGTATCGCTTATCTTTATTAAATAGTTTAGAAATGATTTTTTGCAAGAATCGCATATGCTACAGAACCCTCCTACTAAAGTGTTTTTTTTTGTATATAATTCCTTCATAAAGTATATCGCGCCCTCTATCGGGTATATCTTTATCTATATAATTATTGTTTAAATCTCTAACTCCCGTAAAATAGATAATTTACGAATAATGTTCTTGTCATTTTTATTTAGTTTTTTTCTTCTTTCTTACAAAGAATTAATTAGCCGGGGGTTCCAAAAAATGAAATAAATAGTTATAACTCCAATATGTTTATATATTTTATTTAATAAATACATTATATATGTAATTTTATACAGCTGCCATATGATCACTTTCATCTCACTAAACCATAGTGATTGACATCATATTGATGTTTGACATATATATAACATGATTTTTTTCAATTTAATACAGGATCTGGATAGATACTTGTATTTAGATCCTTTAACAACTCTGAAAATTTATATAAGTTAGGTATTTCAAACATGATGGAGTGTATTTCCAGTAAAATCACATTTTCAAATTATAAGAAACGCGCTCAAAAAAATGATTTAAAGTTGAAATTATATAACATTGCAGTGGCGTATCCAGGATTTTTCTATGGGGAGGGGGGGGGGAATATTGACTAAAAAATAATTTAAAAAGCAAGATTTTATAACTTTTATCAAATACAATATTATTAAAAAGTTTATTAAACACTATAACTATAATGTAATTTTTATTTTTCGTGTGGATGTTGCCAGTTCATCTAGAATTTCGTTCGTTGTTGGAACTAAATCTCTATGAATATTTAACATAGCTAATCCATTTAACCGAGATTCTGAAGTAGTGCTTCGTAAAAATGTCTTCAGCCTTCTTAAGTTGAAAATGTCCTTTCATTCGTGCATATTGTAATAGGCAAACATGCAAGAATATAAAATAACTTCAAAATATCGGGAAATTGAGCCAAGATATCTTTACAACGATTTAGTGCATCAATGGCATGCTCAGGTAAAATAGTTAAAAATTCGCTGATTAAATTTATCTCCGAATCAATATCGTACGAATAAAATTTGGCTAAATATTTTATTTTATCAATCGTGCCATGAGAAAATAAAGAGGAATCTTTGGGCAATAAAACTTGAAAATTTCTCCATTTTTTATAAATATTTTTGAATAATGTTAATGTACTCACAAGGAAAGGAAATTTTAAAAAAATTTATCTATAAAAAATAAGTTTTATGTTGGAAAATTGATATTCAAATATTTGTAAAATTTGATTGGGGGGGGGAGTAAAATTTTTATTAGCTTAAAATGATATTTATGAAAACAGTCAAATTTGCAATGGGGGAGGTAATTTTCCCCTTTCCCCCCGCATTGGTTACGCGCCTGTCACATTGCATTGACGCACGCTAACATATACTATATGTAATAAAAAAAATTATAAATTCCATTTGGATCATATTAATATATAATTAATAATTTTACCAGATGATTATAAAAACAAATCATGAAAAAATATCAAAACAATTCCAATGGGAGCATCCCAGAATTGACTTCCATAATCCAAGCTAATCTTTAATTTTATTGAACAAAAATCGGTATTTTTTTTATGTAACATAATTTAACTTAAAATAAAAATCCAATCTATTAAAGAAGTATAAAATTTAATAAACAAATCAATTTAATTTACATATTATCAAATACGAATTTATCTGTTAAATAATAATGTAATATAATTATATATTAATTATCTATTAACGGTAACCAATGTTGGGCAGTCCGAATACTTGTATCTAAGATAGGAGATCTTGAATTTTTTCACATCTGTATTTCTATCTAATTTTTTTTTTGCGGGAAAACTTGCCCAAACCTGGACGTTAACAACCGTAACAAATATTAATATAAACCCATAGGTATAGTTGAGTAATTACTATATTTTTAGCCAGCAAAAAAAGGGCAGCTTTTAGTCGAAAACTATTGGCCCCGGCGTTTTTTTTAAAAAAAAAGGTAGCGGGAAGAAACTAATGTATTAGAACGCCTTAATATTAGCGGATTTTCTAAGGCAATCGCCCGAATATTGAGCGGAATTATGCCGCCATTACCCCCAACTGTACACATACATAAGGCTTGATAATCAAACGAACTACTTAGCGTAATAATTTGCATGGTCAAAGTATGTAGGCCATTTTATCATAGAATTATTTTATATTTTGGTCATCACCGAGACCTCCCCTCCAACTTCATTGGCCGAAGGTATCTAGAGGGTTTTGCCAAGTATCGCTAATCTTTGTTAGATATACAAGAATCACAAATGCTGCAGAACCTACAAATAAGAAGCGTTTTTTTACCAAGATAACTAACTGGCTTCCATAAATTTGTTTCGTTCGTAAAATATATCGTGCCCTCTATCGGGCATATATTTAACTATATTATATTAGTTTTTTGCTTAAATCCTACCGCTTGGTATCGGTTTTTACCTTTAACTCCCCTAGGAAAGATAACCTACGAATAATGTTCTTATCAGTTTTATTTAGTTTTTTTTAAAATCTTCTTTCTTACAAAGAAATAATTACCCGGGGTATAGCTTCAATATGGATATATATTTTATTATAATAAATACAATTATTATATAACCACTTTTGTAGACTTACGGAAAAAATAACTAAAAAAAAACTTTATTCTCTTTTTCTAAAAATCAAAAAATATATTAAAAAAATTTTTTTTTAAGTGAAATAAAAAGTTACATCCAAAAACTTGAGAAAAATATTTTTTATATCAATTCAACATCAGCCATTTTTTAGCAGACGATTTTTTTGCATCGATGACATGCAACAAAGGAGTTGGTTATCATCACTTTCATCTCACTATAGTGATTGACATCATATTGATGTTTGACATGTATAAAATATAATTTTTTCATAAGATGTTTTTTAGATATAAAACTAAATATATAATCTACGAATCTACATTTAAACATTATTTGATTGACATTGGATAATATATAAAGTTATATAATATAATTTATAAAAATACACAATAAATAACAATAGTTATTTATTAAATTTTTTTTAACTCT